CATATATATATATTATTTATTGTATATAATGAAACATTAATATTTGAATTAAATTCGAATAATAAAAAGTGGTTAATAATTGCCATAATAATTATTTTCATTTAATTCGATTAATTTTCTTTTTCCTTTTCAGTCAGTCGAATAAGTTCCCTAATTTTAAACATAATATGATAATAGAAATTGTTAGTTTTTAAATATAAAAATAATAAATTATTTGACTTACTTGAGACACAATCGTGAATGATTCACCTCTTCATTAAAGTCTTCAAGTCGTATTTCATCCATTAAAAAGTCTATTAGATAATCGTTACCGCTATCATTAATATCAATTTCAACATCAAAATTGTGGTTAATTTCATTAGTTTCATTTATCCAGTCTATTTTATATAAAAATTTGTTTTGACCGGTCGCCTATTCAGTATATTTTCAGATGCTTTATTTGAAATAAAATATATCTCATCATTATAGATACGTTTTCGTTATTTTTTCATATGCTAAAATTGTTCAGATGTGTGATCTAACACGTCTCTAAGCAATGATTTTAACTATCAAAAATGTAAAGATAAAAAGTGAAGTTGAATAAGTATTGTCTAAATAAATATATAATATATATTATAAAATAGTATTTATCTTTTTCAAGTATCACGAATGGTTATAGACATGTAGAAAATTTTTTTCTCTCTATTGCCTTGTTCAATATTCGTCTTCACTATCTGATTATTCAGGAGAATGGCATTCATTTTTTTGTAGAATTGACAAAACTTCATTTTTGTCGAATTTTGAAACTTTTTCTTCATTCGTATCAAACAATTTAAATGCCATTTTTATTCATCTATTTTTCTTCTGTCGAATATTACTCAGATTAATTATCAAATAACTGCATATATAAAATAAATGAAATAAAAAGATTTTATTTAACTAAATAAATAATCACTTCAGAAAGCTGAATGTTCGCATATAACTTTTGATCGACCTTTTCTAATGTTCTGGTCTGTTATTTTCACAAAAGATCTCTTTTGTATTTGTGAATAGCTTGATCTAATTTGAAAATTGTATCACAAAAGAGTTAAAAATTCCATTCATGAGCCTCTTTAATTCCAGAATCAGTTTTTTGTAAATTATTGTCAATTGTTCAGAGAATGTCTTTTCATAATCCAGTTAATATTCAACTTGTATCTGACCTTTCATCAGATTTTTTACCTCGACTTATAACAAAATATCATATGCATTGTATAACAACTACAATTTGTCAAATCATAAGAAAATTCTTACTCTTACTTCTTCAGCATTTGTTTCATTCGGTGATGCTGATCTTTTATTTATAATTAGTAGAGGAATATTTCTCAGAACTCGATATTAATGATAATATGTCAATTCAGCCTTTAATTCATTACTCTCGATTCAATTATTAATTTGTCATTTTCATTTTCAAATTTATCGTTAAATGTCTGAAGCACATTGTTATTTTCTTCAAACTGTCAAATCCGTCTTTTCAGGTCTTTAATTTTTTTTATGAATTCAGCTTCTCTTTCTCATTGCTGTTAGATTTCGTTTTGCAGCCTATTGTTTTTCTTTCTTAAATTCTCAATTTCTAAATTAACTGTTTAGATTATTTGATTCAATTTTTCAATTTTTATATTTAGGAGCATAGACAACATGAAATTTGATGATGATACTATATAGTTGATTTTTATAATTCACAATAAAATAAACTTATTTATTACCAGTTTGACGTTAATTATAACTATCAATCGATCTTGGAACTCTAATATTAGGATATCTTTGTTTGGTTAATTCTTCAGTTTGATGAGTTGGCATGGTTGTTGAATAAAAAGCTTGTGCAGTTGTTGGATGTACTTGCGCAGCTGTTAGATGAACTGATGCAATTTTTGGACGTATTTACGCAGCTTTTAGACAAACTGGCATAGTTGTTAGATGAACTAGAAAACTAGTAAGGTTGTTGTTGGGTGAAATGGAGCAAGTTGTTAACCTAGCACTAGTCGAAATAGTCCAAATCAGCTAAAAATCAGATGGCCAGTTTTAAGCCGATTTTGATACTATTTACGGCCAATTTATCATATTTTCTAATCGGCACAAATAGGTACTGATAGACACTGATCGACTCCAATCGGACATGGTCATTCAGCATCAATTCAAAACTTAAATTCAACTATAAATCAGCCTAAAACTGGCCTCAATTCGGCAATAATTCAGACATCGATAGATGCCGATTGACTCCAATCAGATATAACCATTCAGATTAAATTTAACCATAAATCAGCCTAAAATTGACCTTAATTCAGCATCATTCGGCATTAATTCAAAACTTAAATAACATAAATTGGCTTAAAATTGACCTCAATATAGCATCATTCAGCATCAATTCGGAACTTAAATAACTATAAATCAGCCTAAAATTGATCTCAATTCAGCATCATTTGGCATCAATTCAGAATTTAAATAACCATAAATTAGCCTAAAATTGGCTTCAGTTTAGTATCAATTCAGTTAAATAAGCATATAAAATCGATATATTATATTTATTAATTTTATTAAATATTATAATTTTATTAATAATAAAAACCTA